GTCAAATACTTTATTGAGCTGGATATCGAACCGGAAAAGCGGGAAACTCAGAATAATGCATATTTGTGCATGAATAGTGGTAATGATAGCGATGAGGGTGAACAATATCAAGAGTGTATGAATACAGCGATAAATGATGAGGATTTGATGATTCAGACGCGGAGAGGAAAATTATCGAGAAAACAACAATCATGACTTCGGGAAGGATTTCCAAGCCACCTCCGGGTCTGAATCAATTTGTTTAAAATAGCTAACGTAGGGTAAAGTAAAATTAAGTAGAGTTCAGAGTTATATATTAGTATTAGGTGTAGGAAGGGGGATGTAAGGAAGTATATAGATGTGGATGGATGGTGTCGACCATAGATGAAGACAAGTGTCGACGTCAAAGGGCCGAGGACGGAACGAGTGGCTCATCGCAGTATGGCGCGGGGGTTGATGAATCAGGGCTGCGTTTCGTCCCGGGCCTACCTATTGGACTCGTCAGTAAGGCTTAGGTAGGCCCTGCCTTAGACGCCGGATACAATGTGTATAGGTTGCAAGCATGATACAATGAATACAAGGTAGGGTATTAATCGGTCGAAAACTCGATTTTCGTGTGCACAGACGTCACTGGTTAGCACTATAACAGATTTTCATTGAATTTAAAACGCAATAGTTCAAAAGTGGAAAGTTATATGATAATATGGTTTGCAGTGTTGTATAGCTCAATGCTTTCAAAATCGCGTTTGGGACCTGATTTGGGCTTATTGCGAAGAAAAACACTAAAAAAGTATTTACAAAATCTCTGATTTTCAGCGTTTTAGCTTGCTGTGTTGTCACTGTCATTCGTAAAATCGGGTAGAGCCAAATGAAACAATGAATTCATTGTATCATTCAATGAATTATTGAATCATGGGGTGAATGCGTTTGGGCGTGTTTTGGGAATCTTGTAGACAAACAACTGAGCATTTTGCGTTTAGTAGTTGGAAAGTTTACTGTAGAACGTGTGCAAGCTATGGGAGAATGCTTGTCGTGCGGATACGAATATGCTCTCAGCATTTCAAAAATAATGATTATGACAGGAATTTGCAATTTGAACTTTTGGGGTACTTGCCAAACGGGCGGCTCATCGCCTGTCAGGGATCCATCATTTGGATTCAACGACACTAACACAAACTAACCTAAAATTTTCAATTTTGTTTTGTTTATAGACGGGTTGTTTACATACGCCTAGCGTTTATGGCTAGTATATACGTTTTTATTGGTTTTCCCTACGCCATTACATATCCTTATTCATTGAATAAACGGGGCAAGCGAAGGAGTACCTCAGCGATGAGCGAAAGGGATTTACTAAGTAATCAGCCAGGCTGGAGGCTTATACAGCCCAAAGCTCTAGCATACCAACTCTAGGCAGATAGCATTTGCTAAACCTCACTCATTACAAAAACGAACAATATTTTCAATTCAAACAGTATTTGAATCGTGTTAAAATTATACATTTATGTTTGAATTGCAATGTGTGCGAGTGTTTTTGAGCGGTCGCAATCTTCAACGGACGATATCTTCCTTATTATCGACCCACAACTTTAATGTTTGCTATTGTTTAAAAACTTGTTACCGGCTTATATAAAAGCAGGACTTGCAAGACCAAGACTATGTATGCATGAACAAGATCAAAACCAAGACTTGCTCTTTTAATCAAGAGAAAGTCTTGGTCTTGCTTTGCTCATCACTAATTAGTTTGAACATTTTAGAAAGTTTTTCATAATTTAACAAGAAGCAAATATGTAAGTGTAGTGTTTGTGTTGTTACACGTTATCAATCGCGAAAGGCATTAAACAATCCCTGCTTATCCAATAAACTTCATAAGGATATATAATGGCGTACGCAGGACTTCATTGTCTCCTTGTTTCAGTAACTTTCCAAAGGGAAAACTAATAAAAACGTATATACTAGCCATAAACGCTAGGCGTATGTAAACAACCCGTCCATAAACAAAACAAAATTGAAAATTTTAGGTTAACCACGTTGAATCCAAATGATGGATCCATGACAGGCGTTACTACGATGAGCCACTCGTCTTGCCAAAAGCAAACGCTCTACTTGGTGCACATCTGGCAACTATGCTAGCCTACAAAAAAATATTTTGTTACTTTTCATTTTCAAGTTTAAAACCTGTTGCAAAGTATTTTGTAATTATAAAGAAGATTTATTAAAAAATAATAAAATCTGACAGACTAAATAAGCGATATTTAATCGTATTAAGCAGACAGAGAAAATCACGAAACGCAGTGATTTCCACTGACGTCACGCAAATCGACGCAAGATCCTACCTATCATGATTGGCACCACTGTTTTTGTAGAGTCTTCAGTCTATTGCTGCGAAACGTCAAATTACGCGTGCTCATGACAGTTGACACTTGTTTATCTATTATCCATTTATGTAACTTCAAACAATACTTACACACTTTTCGATCTGTTTCTATTTCTTTAAAATCTTGCAAAAGTTGATTAGAACGAAACAAAAGCAAATCACAATCACCAAATTACTAGTTAACGTGTTGTTATAATTTTAGCCACCAGGGCGGTTGAACTAGCGAATTGTCAAGAATAGCCAGTTTTTCAAAAATCTCAGTTAACTCTCTGCTACTCGTCTTTATCTATGCTGCTAACCTGAAGGGTCACTATAATTTACAACGTTTTCCTAGTGAGTCATAGTCATATTTCTCTCCCTAGGTCAATAATGAAAGATGTGTTTTTCTTACCAATGTTAGTTTACCACTTTACGATTTACTCATTTTATGCTTACCCCAGAAGTTTTCCATAGAAATTTTATCTTTTCTATTTCTAGTCCCGATTCGACTCCATCAAAACAAGGTTAGGTTAAGTCGTTAAGTCTCCCGATTTCTTTACCTTCTGGTGGATGCACAAGAAACGAAGGTTTATTGACAACCGAAGGAACAACGATACTAATTTATTGATAAATCTTAATATTACGAAGGTTGAAAGTACTGTCGATGAGGATGCTGACTTTGTGAGGGCGGCAGGCCGTTGCCGAAGTAGGGCGGTGGGGGCCCCACTGCGGGAAAAGGCGGCGGATGGTTGACGTAGGGCGGAAAAACGTTGGGTGGCGGGCCAGCGATGTGAGGGGGCGCGGGCGGCGGCGTATTGACAGGCGGTGCTGGAAACGACACTGGGGCATACGAAGCCAGTGGGGGCGGTGCGTGCGTGAAGGTCTGGTAGGGAAATTGGGGCACATCGGCAGGTGGTGGAAGCCGTGGCAGTGCAGGGACCGGCGGCTGTTCCGGCGAGATTTGCGTTCTCTCGTTGCCATTCGCGGCATTTTTTGGCGATATCGGCGCCTTTTCGCCCGACAATGGGGGGCTTTCGGGCGGCGATTTTGCGGCCGCCGGCTGCGAGTAGAGGTCTAGGACCTGATGGCAGATGTCCTCCAGGAGATCCATGGTGACGTCTTCGACAAACATGTCCCACCATCGCAGGTGCTTGGCACTGCGCCCCACCCAATCCATCACTTCAAATTTGCTAAGCTTACCCGCGAGATACATTAGCGCAACTGCAATAATCTCGGGTTCCCACTGAAGGCATAGCGTAGTGCAAAGGCTGTCGTTGACAAAGGTCCATGCCATCTGAACCATCTTCTGCAGCTTGGCCTTGTCGCCTTTCAAACATTTAGCGTACTTGAGCAGAAACTGGTAAGGATGCTCAACCTGAAGATCGAACTTGATGGTCTGGAGCAGAATCCGCTCCAGGGTCATCACCTGGAAATGCAACACTCAAGGAAACATTTACGCGAGAAAAAGGCGGCGCCCTTCCTTACTTCTTCTTTGGGATCGCACCCAAAGGTGGTGAATTTGTGGTCGGGTAGCAAGGTCCTGGCAATCTTGATGATGTCCTTGCACTTCTTGGGCGTCTCCTCTACCTTCCCGGCCAGGAACAGGCAGCAACAGGCCGTAACGTATCGTGGGAACTGTTGGAACGAGTGGAACATGTAGAAGCGATGGAAATACACCACGCCTGTTGCTGTCGTGTTGTACCCCAAGTCCATCTTCATCCCAGTGTCGATGATGAAGCGAGCACCTGCAAGAAATCGGGAGCTTGAAAACACAACTTGGGACCCCCGTTGCGGAAACGCTTACCTTCCTTTCGATATCGCATTTCGGTTTTGAAGTCCAGCCCCGCGGTGGCAGACGGCGTGTTCCGCAACTCCTTCTTATCGTAGTACCAGCCGGGCATTGTAAATACTGCACTTTGCACGCGTTGAGGCAATTATCTCCACAGATTACCACCCTCTGATGCTCTGCAGATAATTTACAAGCTTCGCCGACTTCGATCATAGATAAACACGAGTGACCACAAAACCCTATGTTCTATCCCTTATCATAGATAAAGACGAGTATCCCTTATGGGGTATGTTCTGTGCGAGTGACTTCGATGATGAGGGCGGATTATAACCGTAGTTTTTGGTGTCATCGAGACGTAACCTAGTTGAGTTTTGCGGCGGCGTTGCCAAAGTGCCCGAGAGATCGTGTTTAGCATTCCATCTCAAATTGAGGTATGTACTAGAATCCATGATTAGAATGCTGAGGGAATATTTTGCATTTATGCGCATTTGAAAGTTTTTTTTTAATTTGGTGCCGGAAATTACATTATATTGTGCCTGATTTCAAATTGTTTAGAGAAACAAAGCTGCAACACGCGGAAATTCGTTACTTTTTGACCGCAGCAGATCAATTTCGGCAGCTCATGTACTTTATATCTAGCTAATTTTCGCCTTGAGTCATCGAATTCGTAATTTGACCCACTAAATTGTGGCTTAAATCTACGGAAATAAATTTTTGCCCCATATTTTAAGAGCACTTCAAAAAGCCGAGAGCGGGACTATCATGGTGTCAATCATAAAAATTGGCGACTTTCAGAGGATAAAAAGTAGTGGAAAACGGCATTTTTTCAAAAAATCTGTAGGAGAAATGTTTGTTATGAGATTTTCTATAACGTGATGTCGGTCCTAATCGCGGAGCGACTGTCCTGGTAGAGGCTCCCGTTGTATAGAGTTTCCAAAATCAGACATAGAGTACATGAAAACCCAATTTTGCAATTCAAATTATGGAATATAGAATACCTGCTCTGCAGAATCAGAGGCGTCCTCAGTATTTTCCTTTTTATTCCTAGTCCATTTGGTTACACACACAAAGACCAAACATAAGTCGAAGCGTCGCTACTGGAACTGCAAAACACCACTTAGCTACTGTTGGCATTTTGTGCCGCTTTTTGCTTCTCAAATATTTCGAAGAGCTGCTGGGTGGCTGTCTTCGTGCCATGCAGCGGCCTCGAGAGTTCCTCGCTGGGGAAACGCGCCAAATTGAGCTGAGGATCCCTACAAGGCTCTAAGAGTGATCTCCTGCCAACTTTCCACGTTAACCAGTCCCAACCTGAACAAATAAGGCGTCCACGGCCCCTGGATGGACGGGAAATCAGTGTGCATCAGTTTCCTCAGCCGGACGCCCGAGCGGTTCGAGGACTGTGACTTGAGCAGGTTGAGCCACTTGAGGACTTCGTCATCTGTGAACTGTCTGGCGTTGACCCATTGCGTTTCGCCATTCACTGGAACAGCCCAAATTCGAAGCATTAAAAGTTTTTCGCAGCCCGAGAAGCCGGCACCTACAGTACTCCGCCTTGATGATCGGCGATTTGTGTCGGCGGGGTTTCAAGTACACAGCCACTTCCGGACTCTCCTTCACAAACTCCAGCAGTCGGGTTTCGATGAACTCCCTGCAATCGGCGAATTAGGCGAGCTTTCAGCCGCAGCACCAGCAAGCACTTACCGAACTCCGCGGCTGCTCCCATGGCTCATGCAGAACTTCAGGACAACCCGCTGCAACTGGCAAACGTATCGGCCAACTCCATTCTGGCCTGGAGTTGTTATGAAGGCCGGTTTCAGGAACAAATGGGAATTTGACATCGTTCCCTCCGGATTCTGAAATTCTGATTTTGGTTTAGGTTAGGACAGGGTGGCCAACTTTTCAAACGCATATCACAGAACATACCCCCTAGGGTCTTTATCCTGCTCGTCTTTATCTATGGGGGGATGTTTTGTGAGGCGTATTACCGTACAAGCCATTTGAAAAGATTCCTGAATTCCATAAATTCGGATTGAAGGCTGAAAACATGGCTGGTGACCAAAAAAAAATGAAAAGAGCCTTCGCACTGGCTATATTTACCGTACAATACCGTACAAAAATACCAAAATACGGTTCGGACCTACACCCATGCTACGCCCAATGAACTGTATACCATAGAGAAAGTAAAAAAAAATTACTTACTCTATGCTGTATACTAAAGTACCTGAAACGGCCCCGGCCGTTATTGAAAACCGGAGATTTTGTATCAGGGGTAATAGAGAGAGATCGCCTAATGAGACGGTAGCTTGTCTCTGTCAGACCCGTTTTGTTTTACCTGGTAAAACTGCATCAGTTTTATTTTGTAATATTTTATACGGTTTGCGTGTGTTGTAAATTCAAACAAGATAGATTTCAACAACAGTATATGTTAGCGTGCCAAGGTGTTATTATTGTTTCGTGCTAGTTTAAAAATAAGTGTGTGAAAGGACAAAATTGCGTTAGTCTGTTTTATTTGTTTCCAAAATGGTGATCTTTTGTGTTGCTTATGGATATGAGCAGCAATTAAGAAAAATCCCGTTTCATACATAAGTTTTAAAGTCGCAAAGTAAATCATTATCAGATTTTATTTCATGTTGCCTTTATTGTTGTAGTTTTCCACACAAAATATCCCGCCAAAAAAGGGGGTATGTTCTGTGGTTTTCCATTTAAACGTCCTGAAATACTAGAATTAGGGATGCAGGCACTTCGTAGGGATTATGGAAGTAGCTATGGGAGAATGCTTGTTGTCGTGCAAATACGAATATGCTCTCATCATTTCAAAAATTATGATTATGAGAGGAATTTGCAATTCGAACTTTTGGGGTACTTGCCAAAAGCAAACGCTATACTTTATTGCATATCTGGCAACTATGCTAGCCTACAAAATAAATAAATTTTTGTTACTTTTCATTTTCAAGTTTAAAACCTGCTGCAAAGCATTTTGTAATTATAAAGAAGATTTGTGAAACAATAATTAAATGTGACAAAGACTAAATAAGCTATATTTAATCACATCACAATCACATTGAGCAGACAGACGTCCACTGACGTCACGCCAATCGACGCAAGATCCTACGTTATATTCATTGTATCATTGAAATTGAACCACCGAGGGACTTCCAGTGGGCATCTGCTTATTATTATTTGCGATTTTTCCAGGATATTGCTTGAGTTTCGGCGCCAGCCAACTATAACCTTAGATTTTTGCATTCAGAGTCTTCGGTGGCCTTAACCCCATTACATGTCAATGCAAGGCATTCGTTGATATGTGAACAGTTCCCAGGTGAATTTCCATTCTGAGCCACTGTTTAGTGCTGTTTATGAGCAAATGAACTTAATTCGCAGGGCGGCGGCACGTTTGTTTCGCTTCGCCAACCATAGACCCTTGACCATGGACGCCGAAGAGAACTACCTGTATTATTCGAACGAAAAGCTACTTCGCCTGATTGCCCTGAGCAAGGACAGAGACGAGGCTATTCGGGAGTACTTGCGGACGGTCAAGTACGCCCCCATTACCGACTTCAGCAATGGTAAGTATATGCGAAACTTGCCAGAGTTTTTTCCTCACCGCAATGATCAGGCCTGGAATGGTTCAACGTGGCAGAGCCCCTGTCCTTTGCCAACCATCTAAAAGGCAAGGTCGTGGTGCTTGACTTCTTCACCTATTGCTGCATCAACTGCATGCACATCATACCTGATTTGCGTGAAATTGAAAGCAGATTTTCAGTTGAAGACGGTCTTGTTGTTGTAAGTTGGGAGGGCCCGTTTAAAGAGCGGCCGATTCAACAGCCAACTATTTCAGATAGGTGTGCACAGCGCCAAGTTTGAGAACGAAAAACTGTCTGCCAATATTCTGGCAGCGGTGCAGCGGTACAACATCGGTCACCCGGTGGTAAATGATCACAACTCCGAAATGTGGCAGAACTGCGACGTGCACTGTTGGCCCACGCTGCTCATGCTGGGGCCCCACGGCAACCCCATTGTAATGTTGACTGGTGAGGGACATAAAGACGACCTGCTCGACTACATCCGGGTCACACTGGACTTTTACCAGTGAGCAGCTGATCGCATGCAAGCAAACGATCGGTTAAACTTGGGGGGTTTCAGGAAAAAGCACCTCATTTCCAACCACACGTTGCCCCTGAAGTCGGCTTTCCATCTGTTGCCCGCACTGAAGGGGCCTCTACTATTCCCGGGGAAAATCGCCACATTTCTGGACGAGAATGACCATCAGATCCTGGCGATAGCCGACACGGGCAATAACAGGATTTTGATTGTTGGTAAGTCGATTTCTTTTGAAGCGGAGAAAGCTGGAAAAAACCACAATACCTAAACTTTTCTGCGTCTAGACAGTAGCGGGTTGATACTGAACGTGATCGGGGGCAGGAAGCTCGGCTTTGAGGACGGCAGTTTAGAGGCTGCCCAATTCAACAATCCGCAAGGGGTCACATTTCGGACTAAAAGCATTTTGTATGTGGCCGACACCGAGAATCACGCCATCAGGAAAATCGACCTGGATAAAGGGAGTGTGGTGACGGTGGCAGGTAGGGCGCGCTCTGGGTAAGATTCGCCTGCTTCATTGAGCCGAAAACTATTTCCGATCTATAGGCACTGGGCAGCAGGGCCACGACCGATTGGGGGGCAAGTCTGGCTCGGAACAGGAAATTTCCAGTCCGTGGGACGTTTGCGTGTATCGGACGCGAGATATGGACCTCACGTTCCATCCGGACGGCAAGCCGCCTATCAAGGAGGTGCTTCTTATAGCCATGGCCGGGACCCACCAGGTCTGGGCTTTGTTTTTGGACGACACCGTCTGGTGGAAATGCAAAAAATACACGAGCGGTAAGGGAAATTTTCAAGTCATCGGAAATCGCATCCCCATAGATTGGTTGATTGCAGGAACTTGCATCAACATCGCGGGGTCCGGACGAGAAGAGAACCGCAACAACAGCTACCCGCATGCTGCAGCTTTTGCACAGCCCTCAGGGTTGGCTCTGTTTGAAGTTGCGAAGGAAGTTTATGTCGCAGACAGCGAAAGCTCGAGCATTCGGCGTCTATCGTTGGCTGATGGAAAAGTCACTCCTGTAGTAGGCGGCGATCGCAATCCGAATGTGCGTTCTAGTCGCACATGAAAAGCGACTAAAGTTTAACTTAGAGGCGATTTTTTCAGAATCTGTTTGCCTTCGGCGATCGGGACGGTGTCTTGTACGAGGCCAAACTACAGCATTCATTGGGGGTGGCTGGCAGCCCGGACGGAAAGACGCTGTTTGTAGCTGATACCTACAACCACAAGCTGAAACGGGTGGACGTCACGGAAAATAAAGTGGTTACGCTGATGGTCAACAACAACCTGGACAGCACCGACTTTGCCGACTGGGCCTTTAAGGAACCAGGCGGACTATGCGTGAGTGCGGACGGCAAGAAAATTTACCTGGCCGACACCAACAACCACCAAGTGAAAGTGGTGACTTTGGGCAGGAATGGGACAATCAGTAAAGTGCAGAAACTGGAATTAAGGTATGGGTTTCCATATGTAGACAATGTAATTATCGGACGTATGATCTAACGCAAAAAAAAACTTGGACTGTGTTGAAGCTGAGCCAGTAAATTTAACCTGCAGGGCTGCCCATGTGCCCACTAATCCAACCACCAGCGACAGCCCATCCAGGAAACCGCTTCTATCGCTGCCCAAACCGTTGATTGTGAGCGAGAAGGGCGGCAAGATTCTCGCAAACTTTTCCATCTCCTTTGCCGATGGTCTGAAGCTGGCGGTGGACGCGCCCCAGAGGTGGACGACTGAGCTTCCAGCGCCCACTTTCGCCTGCGTGCCCACCAATGGCACTGCCGCCCAATCGGTGGACGTGGTGGTCAGTGTGCCTGCCCACTTGGACCCGGACCATGTGCACAGTTTGCATGTGAGCTTCAGCTTAATCACCTGCAGTGAAGATGTTTGCCTACCGCGCGCCTTCACTATCCGAGTGCCCATTGTGGTGTCGCAAAGTGGCGCCGATTGCCTGGAGACGCCGGTGCGCGTGCTGCTGGACAAGAACAACGTCCAGATTCTCTGATGTCTTATTTTTTTCGTTTGTAACATGGTGCATTATATTGTTTGATTGGACTCCATTCGTTTTTATTCAATCCCTTTATTGTTGTATCGTTACAGTGCAAATCTATGGTAACATTTACATAAAGTGCTGCGTTTCCGCGTATCGCTTATAAGATTCCTTATAGAAATAACCAGTTTCGATTTCAAAACGATATGTATCTTGCTAAGGCTACCAATCACCTAAAATATATCGGGTGGCCATTGCGGCGACCTGGCAATGCTGCATGGACTCATTCAATACTGCCTAATAACTCATTGACCAATGAATTACAACTCATTAGCGCCCCATACACGGGCAGATTATCCGTACAGTTCAGATACGTAGAGATTTGATTCGACAGATCCAGATCGGACGAATTAAATCTTTTCCTGTCC